AGCCTAGGATGCCGATGCTGACAGTCCGCAACCCAGCAACGGGTGACCCGCGTTTCGATGACGAAGAGGACCAGCAGGTCCGCACGGATGCGCTGTGCTCCATTTTCGAGGCCACAGAGTTGCCCATGGGCGACGATGGCGGACCCCAGGAGATCACGAATGCCCCCGATGAGGACCTCATAGGCCAGTATGACGTACCCAGGTTTTGGGGGCTCCCCAACTTCAAGAGCGCCCCCGTCCTCAAGTGGGCAGACCCCGTCACCTCTCAGGCCCCTCGACGGGGCCCCGAAGGTGCGGTTGCCGAACTTTGGAAGCTCAGTGCGGAGATTATTGGAGGTCCCCTTCTTTGAGTCCCTCAGGCTGCACAGGCGTATCGAAGAGCGGCCCGAAGGTTCAAAGACGGTGAAACAGTCTCCCTGAGGAAGCCCAAAGGAGACGGGTTGAACGCCAAGGACCATTGCAGAACCATCAACCTCATCGGACATGCGGGCAAAGCCTTCGCAAACGTGACCATTATGCCAGATCTGCGCCAGATGTCTAGCAAGTTGTCCAGCGTGCAGTTCGGCGCGCTGCAAGGCCTTTCTACTCGCGATGCCATTGCCCTAGTCGACGAGGTCGGCAGACGCTGTCGTTCTAATCCTTGGCGTGCCCAGAACCCAGCAGTCATCCTCGTCTCGGCTCTGATTGACTTGGAGAAGGCGTTTGATTTGCTCGATCGGCAGCAGGTATGGGCCTCCCTCGAGGAACTCGCTCTGTCTCGACAAACTCGCTTGACTGTTCAGGAGCTATATAACAGAACCTGTTATATTATTAGGGATGCTCGTGCGAATCGTCCATGTCGTCGGCTTCTTATTCGGAAGGGGGTTCGGCAAGGTAGCGTGGAGGGTCCGGGGCTATTCATCGCGATCTATGACATGATTACCAATGATATCGGGGGCCAAACTTTAGCCGCGGGGTTCAGGGGCGCCCAGGGTCAGTACGACCCCTCCTGCCAGATTTCCAGGAATTCCGAGGACTTTGCGGCTGCCGAGTTACCCGTTCTAGACACGTCCCAGATCAAATTCGTAGATGACCTAATCGCGCTGGCTATCGTCGACGACTTCGACGCTGTCACCTCGTTCCTGGACTTCCTGAGGGCCCAGGTCAATGCCAGCGGTCTGATTATGAACGCCCCAAAAACCGAGGTGATGTTGAGCGTTGCGGGGAGGGGCCGCAGGGAACTCCGACAACAGATTGCGAACAGCAGACTTGCATTAACGTGACCCACGTAGACATGCAGGTCCGCGCCCTACACCCGACACCGACGGTTAAGTACCTCGGCTGCCTGCTCTCTGCCACGGGTCCTTATTCCCCCGAGATCAAGACTCTCCTCTCCTTTGCGAACAAGGCGCACGGCCGTCTTGCCCAACGTGTTCTAAAGGGCAACCTTAGTATCCGTCTGAAGGTGCGGCTGAGGTGCTCGCTTGTTCTTTCGATCGCGCTGCGCGCGCTGGAGGTGGCCTTCCTGGCCCGAGCCGATCTGAAGAAGTTGGAAAGATGGCAGACCCGCAAACTTCTTCATATTTTGCGGTCCCCCGCCCACATGCATCGCGTCTCCAACTCGGATTTTCGTTGGCGAGCCAACATCTTCAGTGTCAGCTCTACTCTGTTGCATCGTCTCCATGTGCCGCAACCACTCCTGCCGAATCGGGCAACTCCTTTCGGATCTTCGGGCGCTTTGGACTCTCATCCCAGCAGCTGACAAGGAGCGAGCACCGTCCGATGCGCCACGTGTCTCTTGTGACTGGCTGGAGTGGCTAAAGATGCTCTCTGTTGCCGAGCTCAGAGTGGTCCTCTCACACGAAGCTGAGGGCGACTTGACGCAGGGGGCAGGGGAGATCGATGCCTCTCGACTTCTTGCGTGCCCAGGGTGTGGTAAGGGATGCGACAGTCGGAAGGGGTTGGGGAAACACAGGTTTGCGGCCCACTCGATCATTGCCAACCGTGTGAATACCCCTTCCGAGGACCTCAGCGCCCGCAGGTGCCCATATTGCTCCCAAGTGTTTACTCGCAAGGACACCCTGATCAGGCATATCCAGCTGAAGCGATGCCCACATCTTTCCGACCCGCAGCTTGTTCGGGCTCAGACCCCGCCATCGCTATCAATTTCAGATCGACCGTCATCGACAGCGGCAGAGACCAGCACATTGAGAAGTGATGTTCACTCCCGCGGCCGAGCTGCCCAAGAAGCGAGATGCGGGCGCGGCAGGAGTCGAGGGCATCAACCCGAGCGCCAAGGGCACCGAGGTAGCGGGCACCTCGAAGAAGGACCGACAGATGACCAAACTACTGCTGCTGCACGAAGACAACTTTCGGGGAACGGCGCGAGACCAGAACGCGGTTGTTCGGCTCCGGGTCTGCCCCCAGATGCAGGTGGCGCTGGAGTCGAGCACGGCCCACTACCAGAAAGTCGGGAAAGAGGCCAGGGGCAAGGTCGCGGCAGCCGACCTGCTCGGCCAGAAGCTCGACGACTACCTCTGCATGCTGCTGTTCAGATTGAACGAGGCCGTGGTGGCCAGGCCCGAGGAGGTGGTGGCGGTGGCGGTGGCCGCGGCTGCCCAGGGCACCAGCCCCCAGGAATCGGTCTCGGCGCTGGAGTTCGGGAAGTGCCCCAAGGGTCCCGAGGCGAGGATCAAAGCGACGAGGTGCTTCGACGCGAAAGCCCCGGCGACGATCGACGGAGAGGAGGGAGAGGAAGCCAAGTGGATATTCGCCGCTATGTCGCACCCCACGGCGATGGCAGCGCTGCGTGTGCTCAAAGCCAACGGAGGGCGGAAGTATGTGAGTTTGATTCCGGAGGACGACGAAGTTCCACAGTCCAAGACGGCCACAGAGCTCGAGAAGTTGATATTGCAGGGAGGCGGGGGCGGGTCCAACGAATTGCTGAAGCGCCCGAAGAAGAAGTGAGACCCCGTGCAGGCCCCAGCAGATCCCAGTCTTCTACAGTAGACCTGCGAAACTACTTCAAAGTTCGTGGGCCAGGTCCCGAGGGAGGCTAGCTCAGTTGTTTTCTTTGATGAGGGCCCGCCTTCACACTAGAGGGCGTTTAGGCGGCCGCTCTCGTTGTGCCATCCCCTCAGAGGAGGGGGTGCTCGAGCGCGGGGCCATCGGTCCCGCGTGCGTGTTCGCTCCTCTGGCCCTCTGCCTCGTCGCTCTGCGCTTTCTCGAGGTTGCGCCGTGTTTACGGTTGGTTTTCGGACGGGCCCGACGCTAGACATCCGATCGATTGTTCTAGGGCGTTGCGCTGGCTATGCAAAAAGGAAGGAAAACGAGGCCGTCTCCGCCGGCCGAATCCCGCGGAAGCTCGGCGGAAGTCGGCGGAAGGAAACGTTGGTTTCACAAGAGATGGCAAGGGTTTTTGGGGGCCAAGGCCCGCCGTATAATATATCAAGGGATCAGAAGTAAGTTGGGCATCTCCCTCTACAGGAGGAACACTTGTCAGAATAGTATGGGGGTGATTCTTTGTGCCATTTCGACTATGTTCGATGATTTATGTTATTGTTTCTCTTCCCGAATCCGCCTGTAGGAGGACATGGCCGACCCAAAACAAACCGCCGCGGCGCGCCCCCCGCGACTTGTAAACGGACCTCTGCCTCCTCGACCAGGGTGGGCGTGGGCGCCTCCTCCGCAGGCCCCACGCAGCCCGCGGCGTGGACCTCCGCAGGTTCCGCGAGGCCCGCGGCGTTGGCAGGGAGAACCGAATAAGAAAAACAACATAAGCAGGAACTTTCGACGGTCCGCGCGGATGTCTCCGAACTTCGCCGGGCCCCTTTCCCTGGCGCGCGGAGCGCGCATGGGGCGGCGCCAGAGGCGCCGCCAGGGGGGTCCGCACGGGCCGTCGAAAGCTTATTCCGCAAACAGGGTTTGCCCTTTGGGTTTCGTATTTGTGGTACAAGAATCTTGCCGTGACGGTCGGTCTGGCGGCTATGTGGTCGCCGTCGCCGCCCCGTCGCCGCCACTTCGCCGCCCGCCGTCTGGGCTTGACGATGGGCGCGGCGACGATTTAGTCGCCGTCGCCGCCCGTCGCCGCCTCGTCGTCGCCCGTCGTCTCGGCGCGAAGGTCGGTCTGACAGCTATTTAGCCGCGGTCGCCGCCGATTCGCCGCCTTAGACTGCGCAACATAGATTCCCTTGTGTAAGAAGAGAACATATTCGACCTCCCCCAGAAGTATCGGCCTCCTTTTTCATATTCCGATGTGCATCTGATTCTGCCCCATCGTCCATCCTAGAAATGAACTCGCACCATCCCAGCCAGGGCGGCAGCGCTCCCCCCTTCCAACCCCCTGTCATCCTCTCCACAGCGTGCGCTTTCGTCGATAAAGAATCATAAGTTGCCACGATCCCCTGCAACAGATGAGACGAAGTGCACGCGCGAGCGTCGTCGACCGCGCATGCCGAAAGTCTTCAACAACCTGTGGTTTCGTAAGGTTTTCAAAATGACCAAGTCGCCTGTTCGGTCGGATGCGGATGCGGGTGCCCGTGGCGGCGGGCTTGTTGCGCCGCATCTGGCTCTGTGGAACCGTCGGCCCCGCGGGTTAAACTCCTTGAGAACGGTCGCTGCCGAGGCCGCGATGAGCAGGTCGTCGTCGAAGTGCCGATCGAGAGGGCGCCGTGGGCTCCGCGATCCTTGACGTCCTGTTCCTCCTGCTCCTCCTGCTCCTCTTGCTCCCCCTCCCGTAGCCATTTTGGTTCAGGATGTTTTTTTTCCACAGGGGAACACGTGGCTACCGCTTTCGCGGCTTGTTTCCGTTTCTCGGCCTGTTCGCCCACGTCTGGATCGAGACATTTGGGTGTTTCGACTCTCCTCTCGCATTGACGGGCGAGGGTAAACTGCGGAGTTTCCAGATCCTTCGTTCGACGAGGACCCCTCCGCGCCGCAAGCATGAAGGGGATGATGAGGGTGATCGTTCTCGTCGTGTTCGGAGTCGGGATCATCATGGTGGATGGCGCCGCAGGCGCAAGCAGGGGCAGTACAACGCGTGCGCGCCCTGCAACCATTGGGAGTACGTCAATCGTGGGAATGAACGCGCTCGAAGTGCGGTGGAGCCGATGTTGATCGAAGTGCTGCTGGTGGAGGTGGACGCGGTGTCCCTGCTGCCGCCCCTGCTGCCGCGCATGCTGAGCAACTGTGTGCCGCCGCGGCTACTCTTGTGGCGGCGCTTGCTGATCTTCAAGGTCCCATCGGCGATATGATGGCGCCGCCTGCGCCCCCTGCCGCTGCCCTCGCCCCCTCGTAGTTCGACACTGCGGCGCACGTCGGGGCCAGCCTGGCCAAAGCGGTTGAGGATGCGGCCCGACAGGTTCGGGTGGCGGTCGAGCAGGAGCGCGCTAAGACCCAGAAGATCCGTGACCAGCTCGAGAAGGCTCGCGAGGCCCTGCGGGCTACCGGGGAGGCGCAGTGCGGCGCCCGGCAAGCCCAGCGCGACGCCGACCAGGCCATGCAGTCCTTCGACCCTGAGGCTTGGAAAGAAGCCAAGGCAGCGGAGGCGCGCGAGGCCGAGGCCGAGCGCCTGCGCCAGCAGCGGACTGCGCCTCCCGTTGCTGCAGGCGCGGCGCGCGCGGCCGCCGAGCCCGCTGGATTTCCTCGCGTTGCTGGCGATGCTGATCAAGCGCCCGCGGTGGTGGAGTCGCCTGACTTCGCCGCCAAGTCGGCGGACGAGCTCGCGGCCTGGGCACGTGATCACCACGTGCCTGCAGGACTGTGGGAGGCGTTCGTGGCCCCGCGCGCCACCATCCAGAGCGCTGAAGATGCTGATGGTAGCGATGCTGGCAGCGACGCAGGCGGCAGTGATGCAGGAGCTGGCGACGATGAGCTGCGCGCCCTTCGGACGCGCGGGTAGGGGCAGATCCTTTCCGCAGAGGGCCAGCAGCGCACGGAGATCCGCATCGCGGCCCGCGCCGAGAACCGCGCTGCCAAGCGCCTGCGCGCCGCCAAGGCGCAGATCAACGAGCACTTCGCTGAGCTGCTCGAGCAGGCTGCCTCTGGCCCCGTGCCCGGGGGGCGCTCTCTTTAGCGTTCTTTGGAGTGCGGAGTATCTGAAGCCCGAGTGCGCGAGCGCGCGCGCGCGCGCGAGCGGCGCGTCTCGGGCACCCCTGCTGCCGCGCCCCTGCCGGGGCTTCGAGGCTCAGGGGGGTGTGTCGAGAAGGAAGTGGCAGTCGTGAAGCCCGCGGGCCTTCCGAGTGCCGCGGGCCCCCGCTCGGGGGCCGTTGTCGGCGCGAGGGGAGGGAATCGCGCCACTGCTTCGCGCGGCATGGGCGGGCCCCGCTGCCGCGGGGGGCGGTGGGGGGGGAGCTCGGCGAGCGCCCTAAGGCCGCCCCCCCAGGGCAACCGCGCACGCGCGGCCTGCCCCCTGTTGGCCAAGATGGTGATGATGATGATGATGATGATGATGATGATGATGAGAAGCATCCCAGTGCCCAGTTGGTGCGTTGCAACGTCGCATCATGGTCGATGGTCGTTCAAGACTTTGCTTCTGGCCTCTCGGGCCGCTCCGATGCCTTCCTCTTTTGCGAGCACCGCCTGTGGCAGGGTGCATTCCCTCGCGCCAAGCGAGAGATCGCCGCAATGGTTTGGAGGCCGCATCTGCAGGCGGGCGCTCCCGCGGGGGGCGGCGGGGCGCAGGGGGGCGTCGGGATTGCGGTGGGCAAGAGCTTGTGAGCTTTATGCGCTGCCTGGCCCATATCGGCTATGCAGCCGATGTCGGTCCGGGCCCAGGAGGGATGCATTCAGAATTGAAGGCCCAGAAAGCTGCGATAGCTGTTGGGGTATATTATTTTGTCTCGCGCTCGGGGGTCGCGTGGGAAACCCGGCCAAAATGCGCGGCATCGCCGAGTTCGTTCGTGTTCATGGGATCCCCTGGATGCTGGTCGGGGACTTCAATATTGATGTTGAAACGACGCGGCTTTCCGAGCATCAGCGATCTACGCGGGCGCGGGCGATGGCGGCGGAGGGGGTCGACCTCATGTGCTCGAGGGGTCAGGCACTATGACTGACAACGAGTTGGTTTCCCAGGATCTGCTTCCCCATGTGCAAGTTGGAGTGTATGAGCCCTCGCCATTCAAAGTCCACAGGTGTCTGTCAGGCCATATTGCCCACCGTGTCTTGGTTCAGAAGTTACTTCGGCGAGCGTGTCCGCGTGGCTTGCCAGCCTGCCTTGGACCTGATCCACCCTGGCGGCGCTGCTTTTTTTTTCAGGAGAGACGTTCGGGCGACGCAGGGATGAAAACGGAGCGCCACGCGCAGCTGGCGCACCTCGTCCCGCGTGCGAAGGCGCGCTTGGATGAGCGGGCTTCTGCGCAGTATGCCCTGCGGTCTCGTGCTACTGAGCGCAGGTTCCTTTCTCGTGATTGTGCTGCTACCGATAGCGATGATGAAGGTATGCATGGGGGGGGGGGGGAGGTGCTGCTCTACGCCCGGTCGCGCCCGCCATCGCTCATGAGGGAGGTATGGGAGCAGCGTAATATCGGAATCCCACTCTCGCGTTCTGGTCGCGCTTCTCCGCTAAGCTGTTGGAGCTTCGCACTGTTCGACGACGACACTCCACCGAGTGCCGAGTCCAAGGGCTGATCATGGAGATGGCCACTCGGGCTGGAGAGTTCTCGCCCGCCCGCCCTGCTGCTCAGCCTGCCCCCCGGCGGGCCGACCGAGTCACCTATCGGACATTGGCCGGCCCCGAAATCTTGGGTCGCCTCGTTGAGATCACCATTGAGGTTTTGAAGAGCGCCTGGGCCGAAGCGAAGGCGGCCGCCAGGCAGGGCCTGGTGGGGGGGCTCATCCGCGCAGTCCCCCATGGGGCTCGAGGGGCCCACTCATGGCTTAAGCGCGACAATAAGAAGACTGCTGGTTTTCCAAGTCCCCCGAAGGTATGAAACAGTTACCTGAAGAGATGATGGGCCATCGGGCTCACTGGTGGGGGGGCCTTTGGCAGGTTTCGCCCGAAGAGATAATCAGGTTGGGGGTCGCCATGTCTGACCTCAGCGGCGTCGCCATGGACGCTGCTAAGGAGCTCGCCCCCATCGCGGCTCAGGACATTCAGATGTGCAAGTTTTTTGGCTGACACTACTGAGGTGGGAGTGGGCGGGTGGATGCCCCGAGCGGTCGCTGAGCTTCCATCCGAGGGGCACGATGCCCTGGCGTCTTTATATTCGCTTTTGCGAAGAGCGAATGGCCTGGCCTGAGCAGACCCTTCTCGGTCTCATTGCGCTGTTCCCCACTTCGCAAATCGATGAGCGACCTATCTGCAAGTGCTCCACCCTGCACCGTCTGTGCACTAGGATTAGAGGGGTGGACGTGGATCTGTGGACCATCGAACACGTTGCCTTCCGGGACACAGCGGTCAGGGGATCGTCTGCCCTGAAGGCCACGTTGGTTCGTGAGCTCTACCATGAATGCGCGGTCCACGAGGGCGCGGCGTCTGTTGCGCTCCACTGGGACGCGAAGAAGTTGTTCGGTATTGTTTGCTCGCGGTTGCTTATCCGACTGGCCTTTAAGGCGACTTGCCCCTCCCCCCCCGCACTTGTTGCACCTGGGTGCGTCGATCCACGCGTCCACGCGCATAGTGGAAGTTGGTGGCAATGCGTCGCACACGTTGAAAACGGGTCGCGGAGTCCTGCCTGACTGTTCCCAGAGCGTGTCTCGGGTGAAGATTTACGTGTGTGAGGACCTTGAGGCCTGTCAGTATCAAATGACTGGTGAGCTCTCTAGGGTGGTGGCCAGGGCCTATGTCGATGACATTGCCCAGAAAATCGCTGGCCAGGAGCAGGAGCTCCAGGTGCACTTGCTGCCAGATGCAGTTCGTTTCGCGCATGAGATCGAGCACCTTGGCCTGGCGCTGAGCACCAAGAGCGCTCCTGCCAGGCGGTGGGAGCTCAACTCATGTCTAGCCACCAGGCTGTGGGCCTTCCAACGCGTTGCCAGTTGCACACTCGGGATCTGGGTTCCTGTACGACGGCTGGAAGCAGGCGGAGGTCCCTGAGATCCAATGGCGGAGGCTTGACGCGCGGCGACGCGCTGGCAAGGTTGCGATGTTGTCATAAGGGGGCGTCCAAGCTTTTCAAACCTGGTGCGTTGTCGGTTGGAACCCGGGGCCACCAGCTGGTGGGCATGCCCCCCCGCCATCTGCAAACTGCGAGGGGCCGAGCGACCCAGTGCTCTGGGTGGTGGTCCCCGGGCTCCTGCTCCATTATTGTCCTGGCGCTGGTGTCTAGTAGCTCGGACGCCCCCCTTTTTCGTTTGCGGCGCGAGCAGTTGCTGAGCTTTGCCGACCTGTGGCGAGATCTCGGTCCTCAAGATCGCACGCGCGCCCAGAATGTTTGGGTCGCGGCTGTCGACCTCTGCCTGAGCACCCCCGCTAATTGTCGTTGGCGGCGGGCGCGGGGGCCCGCGATGGCGACTGTCGTTGCCCATTTTGATTTAGAGTGGACTCCCGCTTTTCCATTCGAGTGGCAGGATGAGCCCGGCTTCGCCTTGGCCGTAAAAACTATGATTTTTGGTTTTACCTTAGAAGGGCCCCCCCGGTCACCTGTTCCCGTTGGACCCGGAAAAAAGCCGCTGGGCGCTACTTGGGTGCCGGGGCCCAGGACGCTGTCGATTTCTCCGTGCCGAGGCGATTGTTGAAGCAGTTTGGGCGACACCTCGATTATGAATCCCAGGCCATCCTTTGCAACATCCTTGCGGGGGGATTCTGGGCGGAGACTCGCCTGTTTGAGGCTAAGCACGCCGCCTGCTCGTTGCGTCCCAGGCGCGGGCTGCAACCTGAGACGCCTGCGCGCCGTTTCTGGCCGCGCGCGGCCAACCATGCCCTGGGCGATGCTGCGGTCCAGGCGACAGCTTCCCTCGCCCCGATTGCTATCGCGGAGAATTCCTCGCTTCCCTCCTTGCGGTGTCGTGGGGTGATGTCCCTCGCACAGGTCGTGAATGATCTGCCCGCTCCGCTCTAGTCGGTTTGGGCCTTTGGAGCTCTCCAAGGGGCCCCTCCTCTGACGGGCGGTGTCTGGGTGGTCGATAGATCGGGGGGCGGCGAGACTAAGGATTGGAGGATAAGGAGGCGTGGGTGGAATGCTGTTATGCTGCGTGTCAATGAAGCTGAAGTGGCTGCTTGTATTTGTTGTGCCTTACCGCCGCCCTGTCAGAGCTTCCCGCGTTTGGAACTATTCGCCCTGCCGATGGTGCTCACAGTCACGGAATGTAATATTCTGGCGTCGTGTGATTGCCTTCCCTTTTTGCGGAGCTTTCGCAGGGCCCCCCAGCTTGTCCTGAGGAGTAAGAATAGCATGCTGGACCTGTGGGCTCGCGTTCGGGACCGTCTCGGGGCGCACGCCTTGGTGACCTGCCAGGGCGTGGTTGTTTCGGCGTCGATAAAGCCCGTAAGTTGTCTACGGGCTGCGTTCCGCCCACTGCCAAAGGGAGGGAGGTTTTGTCCAGGTTGTCTCATGGGCTCCCTCCCGAGTCAGGCATGAGTTCCCCCGTGCGGGTGTGAGCGCTTCGTGCGCCCAGGCTTGCTCTTGCAATCGCAATCGCAATCTCCTGCTCCTCCTCCTGCTCCTCCTGCTCCTCCTGCTCCTCCTCCCCCGCCCCCTCCTCCAACCTGGGGGTCGCCTGGCAGGCCCCAGCACACGCGCGCGCCATGTCCTGCTCTGGGGCGCGGCGCGTGCAGCGAGGGCGCGACGGGCCTCCGCTGCGTCCCGTGCCCCGACATTAGCCAGCAGAAGACCGAAGTGCTCCTCCACCCAGGGGCTTCGGCATGCGGCCCGGCGTGGGGTCGGCAGCGGAAACCCCAGTTTGGCAAGAGTTTTTATTGGGGGTGGCCTGAGCCCACAGGGCCGGAAGGCTTAATTGGCTCCAGGGAGCCTCAGATGCACCCGCGCCGCCGCTGGAGCCAAGGCTGCCCGCCCTGTTCCGAAGGTGTTGGCAGACAGTGCAAACACAGGGGGCGGAGCCGGTTTTTGCAGCATCGGCGCCCGCCCAGGCAGCGCACACGTCCAGCGCGCGCGCGCGAAAATAATTGCGAACTGGCCTGCCTGCCAGGCCTGCCTCCCTGAGCTGCTTCGGCTTCGACAGGGGCGGCGCAAGGGCGCGAGGATCATCACGCATCGCGGGTTGCGAGGCACGATGCGCAAGCTCCGGTGGCTTGGCTTCTGTTTGGCAAGCGTCGGCTCGCGGTGAACGCGGCATCCCTTCTGCGTGCTCACAGGAGGGCCAGGTGCGCTCGCCCCCTGCCCTTCAGGCGATGAGATCTGTACATGTCCGCGGTCCCTGGCCAAACCCATCTTGGGCCCAGGGGCCGCGTACGCGCCATTCTGGCTCGGCCAGGGAGGCATACACATCCGCGCCTGGTCCCAGGGTGGGCTTGGCCAGGGGTTCTGGACCTCTTCGCCCTGTACCCCCGCGAGACATTCGAAGTCCATCCGCACGCGGCCCACCACGCGATTGTCGTCGACACGCGCAGCAAACCGCAACACCGGACCCCTACAGCACGGCGTCCGATCGCGCGGCTTCGGCGTCGAAGATCACGACGCGTGGGAGAGCATCGACGCTGACGACGTCCACGACGACACCGAGGCAGCGTCGTGCAAGGGTCATGCCTGTCCCACCACAGCCTGCTCGCCGTGAGTGACGCCCTCCTGGCGTATCTGGCGCATGGCACTGGAGCCTGTTGATGGGCCAATTGTCCACCACCGCTACAATAGGTAGGACGGGGGAGAAGGGAGGATGGGGAGGTTCTCCTCCTCCTCCTCCTCCTCCTCCTCCTCCTCCTCCTCCTCCTCTTCCTCCTCCTCCTCCTCCTCCTCCCTCTGCTGCCTCTGGCAGCGGAGAGAATCGGCCCCTCGCCTGTGGCCGGTGCGGCCTCGTTCTCGGACGGCGTGGGGGGCGGGCCCCCGGGCCTCCGGCGGGGCGGCACGGCACGACGCCCCGCACGGGCAGCGCACGAGCGTCTCCGCCGCCGCCACGGCGGCACGAGCGAACACCGGGCACCGTCAGCCCGCATGGCTCGGGGGCGGCAAAGCGAGGGGTGATGACTAGAGGGGGGGATATCATGGCGTGGGCCATGATATTTCCTCAGATTTCATGGCGCCTCTTCTTATCTCATTACGTCCCTGGCCCACCCCCCCTGGGCCGCGCACGCGCCGCCCGCCATGATTTGCACCCCCCCCTCTTGGACGCCTCCCTCTTTGCCGCTCCCGAATTGCGTGAGCGTTTTTTCATTCATTGTTTTGCCGATCGGCGCGGGCCCCCAACCCCCCCCTCCCCCTCCCCCCCATGGAGTAGATCTCGGCTGTTTGGGGCGCCTGTTTAGAGCAGGTGGAGTCTCCCCCTCCTAGGACGCACTGCGGCCAACAGCCGCACTAAGCAGAGGTCCAGAGCCAGACCCCCCTCCTTCCGCCCAATGTCGAAACGCCAGATAAAGAAACGCTCAGCAAGGAAATGCAAGTTTCCCAATGCTACCTTTTCAGCCTGGCCTCCTCGTCCCATGCTGTTGCTGTCGGCATTGGACAGCATTTGCTGTTGGGCATCGTGCCAGTGTTTTCCGTACCCATTTTCAGACCGTGCACATCATACCAACAATCGTCATCAGTTTGCTTTATCTTTCTCGGCACGCGGCTCCTGAGAGAAGCGGGTCCCGAGGCGTTTCGCGGTTCTCTGCCTCGCGGGGCCCTGCAAGGGACCCGGGGCCATCAAGCGACGACTCGGGACCAGGAAAGGGTCCTGGGGGAAGGCCCTGGGGTCCAGGACCCATTTCCTTCAGGACCCGCTTGCTTCGTGCCAAGCCTGTGTGCCCTCGCCTCGCCTCGCCTCGCTGTCACCCATCTCCTCATCTCGCGATCACCCATCCCATCCTTCCCTGTCCCCCTCGTCCTTCCTCCTCTTGCACCCGTCGGGCCTGCTCTGCCGCTTCGACTGCGTCGCAGCTGGGGTCCGCTCCTCGAGAGGATCCGCTGCGCCGTTCGGCTCGTGTCGCGGGAAGTCCACGGAGGAGCCCGCGGAGCCACGCAGCCTCGGGGGAGGAGGAGTGCGAGCAGGACCCGGGGGGATAACTATGGGGCTGTGAAGGTGGCTCTCGGGGTCTCCGTGGCGACCCCGTCGGGGCCTCTTTCGGCTGCACGTAAGAGTGACCCTTCGCCGGAGTGACCTTTGGCGCGGGCCCATGGGGGTCCCCGATCGCCGAACGCGAGGCGGCAGTGGCGTCTTGCGCGCTTGTGTTTGGCTCCCCGCGGCCCCCAAAAAGCCGCGCACCAGAGGTCACTCTTACCCAGGGTCACTCTTATACGTGTAGCCGACTCCTGAAGGCCCCAAGACCCTCCCGCTGAAGCTCGCCTCGGATCGCAGAAGCCAGCTGCACAAAGCCTACCCTTGCGGAGGTCCGCGCGGGATGCTTCGAACTGCGCCTGTGGGCCCTCCTGGCGGCGGCGCTGCCGGCCCCACCCCTCGTGCGTGCGCGCTCCTCGCGCCATGGGCGGGGGCTCCCTGCGGCGTCGATCCCAGAAAGCTTCGCGCGCACCTCCGAGAGCGTTCACGGCCGGGGCTACTTGAGCAGCACGTCGCTCCGCCTCCTCCTCCTCCTCCTCGTCCTCGTACTCCTCCTCCTCCTCCTCCTCCTCCTCCTCCTCCTCCTCCTCCTCCTCCTCCTCCTTCCCCCCTCCATTTTATGGTGGTGGTCTGGCCCACCGCGCTTCGGCACGACACGCGGGCAGGATTTCTATCTACATCCGGTGCATCCTGCACTTTCCTGGAAGGGGCGCCACAAGGCCGAGGCGCACTGGATATGTATGAAGACCGAGCCTCTATGGGGCCGCATTGTTATCCATATCCAGTGCGCCTCGGGTTTCTGGGGAAGAGAGCCAAAAACTCCCAGCTGCAGT